TATGATGAGTGGTGTATGATGAGTGGTGTATGATGAGTGGTGTATGACGAGTGGTGTATGATGAGTGATGTATGATGAGTGGTGTATGATGAGTGATGTAAATGTTCGTAACACGGAAGTTCCTCTAAACTTCCTTTGACTAAATATATATATATATATGTTATTTTTAGTGCTACTCTATTTATTGTTTTTTGATTTAAGGGGGGTAGGCCGCTAAAGTAGAGATGAGGTAGGCTAGCTACAGGTAGCTAGTAGAAGAGGTAGCTAGTAGCTTAAGTAGCTACTACTGACAGGACGCAGGATAGCTCACGCTTCTTCAAGGAAGATCACCCGCCGCTCTAAATGCAGTGGGGGAAGCTTCTGAAGCGCTCGCACTAATCACAAATGATTTCGTTCCTGGATGTTTAGAGAAACTTTATACATAAATACAATCTCTTGGAATGTAGACCCCTTTGGACCATGGAAGACTGCTTGAGGATGCCAATCCAATCCATATTGAAATTTCAGTTGCCAACAGGTAAAATTTGCACTAGATGGTCCTTGATCCTGACTGGTTGGTTTAACCGCTGCTATAACACGCTGAAAACATGTAAGTCATTGTCAGTCGATTGGGATATTGATACTCATTCCAATAATACAAACGCATAATTCAATTTCCTGAAGGGTGTCCACAAGGGAAATGTTTTTCGCCGCAGAAGACCATCAAACACATCTAGGAATCGACTCCTTGACTTAGGAATCCAAACTCAGCTAAAGCAAAATATGATCATACTTGTGCCTTACCCCACAGAGTCCCAACACAAATGCTCAATCAGACTGGGTATAACGTTCCGTTTCCACGAATCGAAAGGCGCCCTGCCGGCAAGTCTGGTGAGAAACCAAAAGGATGCTTTTGCTGTTTGGAATGCCACAAACAACGATTTCCGTGACACGGTGGGTGGTTCGCAGGCCCCTCCTCTTCGGAACACTGTAAACACACAACGTTTTTGTTTTGCTTTTTTAGACCACCATTACGTTTTGGTACACTCTTTCAACTCATTGGCATGTTCTACTCTCGGATGTTCCTGCAGAGAGCTCGCTGTTGATAATCTTTGGTGTGACATAGTCCTTTTTCCCCTCCGCCATTGAGGCCATCACCTTGTGAGCACTTCCGAGCGTCACTCGTTTCACGGGGAAGCGACACAAGGTGTGACACCCTGGACCTTGAAAGCTCCGAAACAACTCCACGACTCGTTTAGAAACTGATGTTGAAACGATTGTAAGCCGATGTTGTTTTGTCAAATAGGGGGTCCCCCAAATTTGGATATATATATATATATCCAACATGGATCCCATTGAAGAACCAGGGTTTCGGTCAGTAGGACTCAGCTAGGGCAACGAAGGTTTGGCAGTCTAAGTGGTGTGTTGAATTGGGCAGCCACACACACCCAGGAGAGTGGACAGTTTCGCTTCGGCAGTCAGCTAGCAGGCAGGTTGATATCCTCTAAGCCCCCTTCAGTATAATTAGCCAACGTGCCAACGTAGTATCAATAGTTAGATAGGAACAAGAGGATACCAACCTGCCTAGCCAGACAGACAGCCAAACAGTCGGCTAGACAGCCGAAACGAGAGAGGCAAAGACAGCCAGAGTAGACAGCCAGGGTGGACAGGCAGTATGGACACAAGGGTTGACAATTGATTCTTCTTTCTGTTTCGCAATATCAAGGCATATGCTACTAGTAACTAGTAGATCGTGCAAATGCCAAGTTGCCTCATCCAGAGACATCCCATGCACAGTCCAATGCACAAGTGGTTTGTCCTTGGATGGAATCTCGAACTTTCAACGCCAAAACTTCAAAACTTCAACTAATTAAGCTACTAATGGCTTCTTGCTGCTGGTAGTAAGGCCAGGAGTTACTAGTAACTAGTAGCGTCCGCTCCTAGTAGCGATGCCCGTTCCTCGTAGCGGTGCCCTTTGTTACTAGTAGCATCCTTGCTCCCTGTGTTATACCGTTATACCGGAATTCAAACGGAAATACAGCTTCGGACCGTCAGGGGCCTCCCACATACGGACCGCCCCAAGCCACCCTACGAAACATCGATATCAACGCCCGGGCAAAAAGACCAACCCCTTGTTGACGATTGTGAAAAACTAGACGACGAGTGGCCCGAAAGCGTTTTTCATCACGTAGGAAGTCAGAGTGCGAGTTATCTGTTAAGTGTGTTATAAGTGTTCAGTGTGAAGTGTTAAGTCGAGTGTGTTGAGGCAGTGTGTGGGTCTCTGTGTGTGTGTATCTATGTCTGTGTGTGTATGTGTCTCTCTCTGTATGTCTTTCTGAAGCGCAGGAACACCTGTCTTCTGCAAGTTCTTCACCTCTCGAAAGTCGCCTCCGCGTAGTAAAGTTGTACTACAAAGTCGCCAGTTCTCATCTTCCAGCTCCACAGATTGCTCCGTGTACTAAAGTTCTACTACCAAGTCGCCAGTTCTCATCTTCCAGCTCCCCAGATACTCCGCGTACTCAAGTTGTACTACCAAGTCGCCAGTTCTCAT